GGCCTGATGTAGCCCCCCCCCCCCCACACACACACACACACACACACACACACACACACACACAGCCACCACCAAACTTTTTGCTATAAAGTTAAAACACTTTACAAAAAACTCATTTTGGATTAATTTTATTCAACAATAATAACAGTTGTTTGGATATCTCTAATTTAAACCACAATAGTCATTGATTACCTCTACTTTTCCTACCAATATTGATTTTCCAAATAAATCGAAGAGGTTTTCACTTTTGCAATGAAGAAGAAAGTGTAACTGCTTTCAAAAGTTTATGAAGTGCTTTTATTTTGTCTTTATTTTTATCCGGAACGACGGACGTGATAAAATTCCCAACACGCTTTCTTCATTTTACTATAAGGCATTTATATCGATCATTATTATTGTTTCCTTAAAGGCATATTGACTGTTATATATATATATATATATATATATATATATATATATATATATATATATATATTGGTTCTTTCCACACATCACACCACTCCTCTTTTTATTACCAAGGTATACTTCAGCCCAAACTGCAATGTTCGATCCATAAACGAGCTTTAAATTTCTCAGTAAAATGCGTAACCTCCAATCTCCAATAAAAGAAATACTCAAAACCACAAGTTTAGAGACCATATCCTGGAACCGCCCCTGCGGTTCGGTTTATGGAAAGTAATTTTATGAACGAATTATGGAAATGATAAAGGCGACGATTAAGGGGAAAATACATGTATAGCTGTGGAAATCGATAGAAAAATTGATTTTTCTACATAAAGTCGGACCCTCACTGTGCGTGTTAAATAAGTAGCACTTATATGCAGTCTGCTTATATATATATATATATATATATATATATATCCCATTTTTATATATTTACCATGGTCAGTTTCACTGCTGGACAATTTTTCATATGTCACCAGATTTTGTCTTCGAAGATCACCTGAATGGAAAAAAGATACGACATGTTGAATTAATACATTTCCCCCCTCTCTCTTTCTCGTCTCTCTATCTCTTTCTCTCAGTACCCACCGAATAGGTCTATCCCGTCCTTGCTCATGGTAACTATCTGACCTTTGTGTCTCTTTTTTCATCTTACGCCCTTACATTTCCCGCTTTCTGGCATTCTCCATTTATCATTTATCATGTAATTACATTACAAATACAGGTGACAAATGAACTTGCAAATATATGTAGCATCCTTTCTGTAGAAAACCGGCGACCTAGATACTTGTATCTCGGTCAAGGATATTCACCTACGGTACATGTACTGGTACTTACAGATGACACAGTCCACGTGTTGTCCAGGGAGTTGCGGGTTTTTCTCTTGAAGATACGCCAGTAGTTGTAGGTTCTTAGCACTTGGCTGCTCACCAAACTTCAGCCCCGACAAGACTCTTTTGTGATTCACCTGTGTCAAATTAAAGAAGACTGTATAGACTGGGTGTTTTCATTAACTCTGAATTTTATATTTCAATTGGTTTAATACAAAAACAGACTCGAAGTGCGTAATATGCACATTGCACTTTGCTTTGGTCATGTGTAAAATAGGAAAACAGATACATGACAGGAAAAAATGTATTTCAGTAGCTTTTTGTCAAAAAAAAAAAAAAAATTGCGCCTACCTTCATCCAGATGTGCTTTTCTTCGTACGGTGTCCAGAACCACATTTTCAGGGCAGCGCAGTACGTGAACCACAATTTTGCTATACCAGTGTCCCCTGTAAGGCACGTAACGCACTGTTTAACCATGTTACAATGCAAAGGATATGTTTCAAAGTAGGAAATTTCAGAAAATAATCGGACACGAAGATTTTCTTACCTTCTGCACCCTCAGCTTCGTTCAGCTTCTCCATTAGCTCTATCATGCCGACTATTTCTGGTTCGTTAATGGTCACTTCAAGAGTCAACTTCTTTCCCTCTCGTCTTGCTGCCTCTCGCATTTTCTCGGAAATGAGAGATTTCTCAAGAGTCTCTCTCAGCTCGCCGCTTCTATAGGCTTCAACTAATTTTCTCAGAGATTCAACATCTTTGGGAACCAAGCTGATGATGATGGAGCCCGTCTTTATGTCTTTAAGAGTGAAGCATAAGCCCAAGTTTTCAAAGGATTTTTCGAAAGATGGGATATCTTCGCTGACATGGCGAATTCCTTGGTCGTGATACCACGAGGTTTCCTCATCTCCAGTTTTAGTGGGTTCGGGTGCCCTGCAGCTGGCGTCAATTTGAACTTTCATTGCCACTGTCACTAAAAAACAAATGATGAATACCCTGTTTCTTCACTTTTTACGGTATTGGTTTCTTCTTTAAACATTATCTTAAGGGATCAAGTTTATCATTTGTCACCTATGATTAGAGAGGAGGTTATTTTGTGGTAACCCGTTTGTGGGTTCGTTTGTCTGTGCACAGCATTACGCAAAATATGATGAACCGATTGTAATGAAATTTTCAGTATAGGTCAAAATGGACCAAGAAAGAAATGGTAAGATTTTGGTAATGATAAATCACTTTATTATTTAATTAGATTTTCAGAATAGGTGACAAATGGGCCAAGGGAGATTTATTAGATTTTGATGATGATGAAATAATCAAGTAATGGTTAATTATTACTTAATCATTTGTCTTGGCGGAGGCTGCGCTCTCTTAGTGCTTTTCTAGTTCTTAATACATTTTGAATAGAACATTTCGTTATGAAAATATTGCAAGACAAAAGAAAATCAGATCTTTATTTATATTCAGACTAGTGCTTTCACACCTATGTATTTACACAGGCGGATTCAGTACTCTACTCAGAGGGGGGGGGGGGGGAGGGGTCGCACGCATATATAAAAAGTTGATCATGTGTGGAGGAAAACAAGATATCGTTGATGTTGAAGGCGAATTCAGTGCCCACATCCTTTGTCCATCACTAGATCACAACCGTACACTTTTCTCAAAAGAGAAAAAAACAAAGAGGCATACTTCTTTTTAAAGGGATGCCATGGACCTCCCCATTGTCCCCGATCAACCATTGTGAATCTTCTTCAGGTGTTTCTAGACCGGCAATGGAGACCGCATGATGATCCTTTTCATCCAGGAAAACCATCCACTCATCTAGTGGTGCCAAAGCTGACATCACACTAGCACGTGATGAGCGAGCGCTCTCAAAACCACTGTCACGTGTTGAGTCACGGCTCACTGAAAGAAAGGAGTTATAAGAAATGACATCATGGCGAGTTGCCCGTTTATCACACGTTACTCATATTGGCTTGCCCACATGTAAAAATATAAAAGCAGTTTCGGTGTTACGTCACACAAGAGTGTCACAAAATGACATTTCTTTTTACGTCATTATGGGGCCAGCAATGTACTCTTTATAATACTAACTGGGACTGAAATGTTTGTTTTGTCACCGTTAATACCGAACGACTTACATTTTTTATATGTCTAAGATTGAATACAGGTATAAATAAAACCAACAATGTTTTTTCCTTCGTCCAAATGGGTCATCATAACAACTAGAAGACTTGTTCGGTAACTGAAATGCCTTCTTTGCACATTGCTAAAAATCCTGGTGGACATATGTGCGTTGATTGTTAGGCTGTGAATATTTTAGCCTTAGTTGAGAGCATATTGGCTTTATACTATGACTTTGTGGAAGATATGATTTATGTAAAAATTTTATCTTCTTTAGAGTTCATTATTATTATTATTATTATTATTATTATTATTATTATTATTATTATTGCTGTTGTTGTTGATGTGTTATTTCAAAATATTAATTTGACAAGAAGAACCCATACTGTCGAGCTGGTCTTCTTTCCTCTGCCCATAAGTTGTCTGTGTCGTCTTGGTATAAGCACTTGATCTAACCCTCTGCTTCACTTCACCATCAGGTGGGTTCTTTTCCCCTTCTGTCTGGTTGTCAAGTTCCTCTGACATCTTGTCCTGCGGGTGTTGAATGCCAGTACGGTGTACATGTATGTGTAAGGAAAGAGGAATTAAAGCAAGGCGAAAACGTTAAATACCTTCCGGGATTGAGTTACGCTTCCTTTTCTCAGTATCTGAAAGTGGTTTAATATATGCATATCAGTAAAATACTATGGAAATATTGGTTATAAATTGTCTACTGCTAATGACATACCCTTGTCCACTTCCCTTAGCTTCAGATGTACCCCCCCCCCCCTCCAAATTAAAATGGCCAGAGGAACAAGACAGACGAGACAAAATCAGGGAATTCTTCAGCGTGTCGTAGTGAAATTGTTATCGTATCCTCTTTATACCGCTGTGCGTCCCCTTCCACCTGAGAAAAATCTTGGCCGATGCTGAAGTTAAATCGATTTAGTCTGCACTCGTAAGACGCATATGGCACAAATAGACCTCTCACCGTATTCTTCTGTAGATGATCTACAGATCTCTATGTGCCCGTGAACACAGTCAACCGTTCTGTCCGATAGTTAACTTGTATAGATAGTGCAAATATGGGCCTATTTCTCTTTCATGATGCGAAATTTAAAATGGCGACATAGCTAAAAATATCAACCCTATCAAAAGGAGTCGATAGTGTAAAAAAAATCCCCTGTTACGAAAATAGTAACAATATGACGCTTGGCTTCAAGAATAATGGGGTGTGGAGGCATATTTATGTTATTTGTCACATCCAGCATTTTTACACGCTATCGCAAATTAAATGCTGTTGATTACCCCCCCCCCTCAGAAAAAAAAATAAAACATTCATGTGACTCAACGTGTCATACAAATATAATTGTATGACAGTGAGCCTTAAATGTCAAAGCGATTCTGTGCTCATTAAATTGTTATTATTAGTAAAAAAGACGAAAATGAAGCGAAGCACATGAATTAAAAATTCGCATTCCATTTTTAAATTTTAAGAAATTTATATGTGTCTCGCAAAATAAGAACTAAATTTTTATTCATATAGTTAAAGTACATAATTAAAAATAATCTACAGAATAAAAGGCTTGCATAGTTCGACTCTATCCAGCTTTTGCAAAAAGTAATTTGCCCTGTGCATCGGGCGGATTTAATTTAAGGGCACATTTTCGACAAAGACGGTCAAGATATGTAGTTACTCCTGGCACAAATTATTTCAAGGGTCCTGTATGTTAAAGAGACCAAATGCCAAAAATATCTATCTTATCAACGTGCTGGGTAGTACTTTCTGCTCGGGCGTTCAACTCCTTTGGAATTGGACAGCATTGATTCCGATTGTTATTCAGATTTTTGTTCGTTTTATTATTACTTTGTTTTATATCTTATGCACGTACTCTCTCCTCTTCAAAGATATAACTTTAATCAGACAACCTTGTTTGAAATTTATAAGAAGTGCTATTCACTATTGGCAGAAGATACGGGGAATACCCAATTTCAAATCGAGACGGTGACCTTTTTTCAATCAAAACGTTTGAACATGTACTGGTAAATGAAATATTTGAGACAACAGTACAAGAAGATTACACACATTCCAATGTGAACTATCTAAACGAAAAAACATTTAAATCTTCTTATACACTTACTTATCATTTAAAGGGGGCAAACATATTCACATTTCAGTATTTCAACAACACCGCAGATCGCTCACCTTGTCACGTACACCTTGTCGCTCGACTATAGTAGCACTGATATGAAAGGTGTAAAAGCATTGATTGGCAGAACTTAGGGGGAATACCCTTATACCCTTTTTCCATTAGTCGCAGTAACCCATTCTCAACTGTTAATAGAAAAAATGCCATAACGCTTGAACTGGCTGGGATCATTTTATAGCTATTATTCTACATCTGAATATTGTAAACTACAAATGTCGGCCTTTCCTGATATTTTAAGATTTGTTTAGGTTCGGTTTTTTTTCTGTAACACTGACTATGCATAACACTGAGCTGTAACAGTTTATTAACACTGAACACGAGAAATATTTCCTTACAATTACCACTCAATACAGGGGCGGTTCCAGGATTATTTGAAGGAGGGGGGGTATAACGTTTTTAGGTATGACAGGCCGAGGATGCAAAGGCGACCCTGCCCCCATCCCCTCCCTTGGCGTGGGGTTTAGAGCCCTTCGGCGAGCCCCGAAAAGTTTTGGTATTTTAGAGGGCGAACGGTGTCATTTGGTCCGATTCAGAACTATGATTCAGCTAGTAAAAATTCTAATTACAAGAGGGGACCACTAGTGTGATTTTTTTTCAGAAATCGAAGGAGGGTAGGGGTCAGGACACCCCCGACAGCCCCCTAAATCCGTTACGACATTGGTGATGATACCTATTAACCCAACAAACCTATTTATACCAGTAAAAAAACATTCCACAGGATTTATTTCGTCTAAGTTTATAATCAGCCCTGTTCTGCATGTGCAGGGTCCAATCAATATTGACTTTATGTATGATACATGAATAAAAGTGTGATCAGATTTGTGTTGTAGTAAATTGTTGTGATTATTTACATTAGTTTAAATAGGGCTGTCAAACCTATAGAATAAAGCAAATTAGAAAGCAAAAGTAATTATTGGGATTTCAATGCACTACAAGGAAGTACAACCTGTATTTTCCCACGCTCACGACCAATCAAAATCAGCCAGAGAAAAAGAGATGAAGTGAAAATAGAGGGTAAAGTAGATCAGAAGTAGGTTTCATATAATATCTAACCTCTCACCGCGTTTTTTTTTTTTTTTTTTTTTTTTTTTTTTAGCATTCAGCGTGAGTTTTGGTCGGATTTTCTTCATAAGTTCATCAAAAGCAACTTCGTGGAAAGCCATCGATAAATTAAAATGAACGATTCTTTCAAGAAAGCGATGTAATTTAAAATATTTTACATTTCATTTGAAGATACATTTGGACCGATATGAAATTTCCCATCGCTTTCAGCATTCTTTTTACTGCCCAAGGAAAGAGCGGCAAAGACACCACCCCAAAAGCTTTACATCTCCATTTTATACATGTACAAGGCCTTGCTTTAAGTGATGCATTTTTAGTTTCACATTGCATAATTCTTCTATTGTGGGTTAGTACTCTACAGTTTAAATTATGACAACTACATGTATTTCACCATTCAGTCTGATTTTGACTCACAACACTTGTGGATCCTAGGGTAAAGCTGAGGGTATGGTCTCACTTTGCTGAACGAAAAAAAATCAGTAGAACAAATCAATTTTACTGTAGCGTATAGGGAACAATGACGGGAATATTGGTTTCGATCGTCTTTCCATTTGCTATTTATACTTTTTTCAAAAGGGGAATTCATCAAAAAGTATGAGAGAAGCATGTGCCCACTGTGTCCCATTCCATGCTCCACTTTTAAATTAAAGCCGTAATGATACAACTAAGGATAAATGAGAGTAATAAATGTAGTGGACATTAAATTGTTACGTGTTTAAAACAAGAGAGGCGACAAGATGCAAGTAACTATTGGTTTGTACTTTATTGATTATTTAGATATTTTAAAATCATGAAGGAGGCTAAATAAATTAATTCAGAGGTGTTTTCTAGTTTAATCAATGTACTTAAACACGATGTAAAAAAGGAATATAATGCTGACCAATCGGAGAGAAACCACGTACTGTTCAGTGCCAAAACTGTTTTATGTAATCAGTTATAACGTGCAGGTCCTTGGCGTCGATGGCGGATTCTTTTTAGTGAACAACACAGTTTGAAATGAAAAGATTTAATGTTACCTTGTCATAAAAAAATACAGAGTTACAAAAAATTACTGCAGTTAGAAGTACTCCTTCCAAGAGAGAATATTTTCTGATATCTAAAAGACCCAAAACTGGATATGTGATTTGCTTGAAGCTTGACAGCCTTTGTAGATCTTTAAGGAATCTTAAACACTGAGGAAATACATTCGGTGTCTGCCCCAGGTATAATTCCCTCTGAGGTAAATATCGAATCTTCCTCTTTAGTGTAATCGTGCGAGGTGACCCCGTCTTTCTGCTTTATCCTGAATAATCTAATGACTGCCCACTTCCCAGTTACCTCCGAATATTATTTCAACTATTCTTTGATATTCTGAACTGTATTAAAGATACTGAAAGTGGTATTTTACAACAGGTGAATTTTTAATAACCTTGCTCTCCTTTAATAGGTTAAACCAGAATTGAAGACAAATAAGCTCTATTTATCCAAGTGGAATGAAGACAATTATTTCATGGTCCCAATGAAGCTACTTAAATTTTCTGTCGACAAATACAGATCTCATAGAAAATACTAGAGCTAGAGTCTAGATGTAAACAATAGTACTGACATTTAAAATATGAAGACATATTCGATTTTCTCTATGTAGAATAAATGGTTATAGAGATTGCAGGATAATCTAAAAACAATTAATCAAGTTTGAATTCAAAACAAAATTTCTTCCTGATAAAACAGAGAAAAAATATTAACAATACGAATTTATAATAAGACCAAATCGAATAAACAAAATACTAACAACAATCAATACTGTAAAACCTTTTTATCTTAACGAAACAATTAAAAAAAATAATTATTTGAGATCAATTTTAAATGATTTTAATTGATTTAAAATGTATCTATAGTAAAATATTTCCTTCAATAAACATAATTTTGTCTCTAAGAAAGAGAAAAACCCAAAGCCTATAAGTATGGATCAAAATGTCGACCCAGTCTTATACACAGTGATATCTTAAAAACAGACTTGACATTTAATTATGTGGAATATTCTGTTTTAAAGTATACTTTAGGTAAACTACGTTCATTTTTCAAAAAAAATTCAGATCTCCGATCTCATAAAAGATATGTGAATGGAGAAGTGTGTGATCAGGTGTGTCGCTACCAATTAACTGACTATCATGTTGGTTGCACTGCTGCAGTGTTAATATGCAGTGATTTAATTGGGAAGTGCTCCTTTGGGCTGGTCAAATCTTGGCTTTGGCGAAGCATGGTTCTGTCAAAAAAAAGCATGCATATGTTGGCAACTACTCCTTAGAAGAATTTGAAATTTTGCATGCAAGCGGTCCGTTTTGCATTACGTTAAATGAGTTAAGCAGTGTTTTACAAAGTTGTTAATCTGTGCGCAAACACAGACACTGTCGCACGGAACGGTCCTCATTGTATAGAGTTATGCCCAGACTGCTGTACCTGCAGAGAGGCCAGGCCAAATGTATCGGAATCTTACCACCAAGGTACCTGACTCACCGAATCAACAGCCTACCCCGGTACACGTCTTACAACAAAACTGAACCAAACTAGATAGATTTCGACCCATGCCTGTAATGTTATTCCAGATAAACTCTAAAACCCTATCCCAAGGAATGCCTTGTCGCTTGAGAGGCTTGTAGCATCTAGATGAGGTCAGGTGAAACAACAACCGTTGTTTGACTAGATACTTTGTGGCACATGTAACTCTTTTACAGATAATTTGGACAATATAGAGATCCAAAATAAAACTCATAATGATTGTCGTATGACGCAAAACAGTCAATGTATTTTTGTTTGCTTCACTGGCGAATTCAATTAAAGAACTGATGTCACAGTGACATCAAAGGTATTATTAAAAGTTATTAAAACACGTTTTTAATCCTTGTTTTCCTTTATCAGTCAGCATCAGTTGGAAAAATATTTCATATTAAATGTCAAGTCTGTATTACCTGATCCAACCACACATTACAATCAAGTATGTTGAATGAAGGTTCTATATGAAGTATATCACAGCTTATCCCTGTAAAAAGACCA